ATTTTACACTGGGGATTAGGAGATGGAACAAGGATCTCTACTTCCCCAGGCACAAAAAAAAATGATACAGGCACCTGAAATAAAATTATAAAATGTAGGTGGTGCATGTTGTAGACAAATGTGTGATTTTTTTTTTTTTAATGGTAATGGGGCTGGGAAGAGTAACTGATATCATGCCTGCTGAGTCTCTGTCTAAAACTGTGATTTGTAACTGGAGGGGCCAAAGTACCAACCCCATTTATTTTTTAATGTCTTGGCCTGCTCTTGGTTGCCACTTTACCTAGATTCATTCACTGTATATATTTGGAACTATTAGTTTCCTGATAAATGCATTGTCAGAAAGCCAGAAGGGAATGATAAGATAGGAAATAAGAAGCTCTTGCTTGTTTTTCTATGTTTCTGTTTGACTTAAGAGATAATTATAACACAGATTGATGCACCTATTTTAAACAAGGTAGTAAATCAGCTTGAAATATAGAATTTCGGAAAGCCATTTGCCACATCATTATAATTTCTTGAAATTCCGGTGTTCACTGAGTATGAGAAGTTATAATCATATGACATATAGCAATAGTGGTGCTCATTTTTTTTCTCATAGAAGACAGTTAAATAAACCTAAGCTACAAATTTTTAAATATCATTAGTTACAAAGTTTAAATATCAGTAACTGAAGCAAAGCAAAAGTATATGCTAGTTGGTCTGGGATCTAGCTTGAAGTGGGAAAAATTACAGATTCAGTAAGCAAAATTAAAATGATTTAGTACACTTCATTTAAAAGTCATGTCTTTTCCACAAATAATGTTTATTTACCACCACAAGACAATGTAGGAGTATAAGATTTTCATCAATATATGAGACTGGAAGCAAAGTGACTTCAAAAGAGAGATTTAGAATCAGAAAGATCTATATTTAAACATCGCCTCTGCCAGGGGTTATATTTAAAATATCTATAAACTGGAATGGTGGGGACAGGGACTCCTCAAGAAGAAAGGGTGTGAGCACAGGACTCTGGAGGACCCTCTTATGCCAAGATTTATCCCTTTGCTGGATTATAGGAAGGACAGAGGTGGACCCGTGATACTGAGAGTAGGGGTTGCTCAGTGAATTTGAGAAATTAACCAGTATACAAGTAGATGTATTTCTATACTACCCTGAAAAAGTAAATAGAACTATTCTTAACCAGTAATGAAATTGTTTAAAATATTAACAACCAGCAGAATCATACTGGAGCTCACTTGCTGCTCTGGATGACACTTATGGTATGTCCTTTATACTTTTAATAACCTTCCTGAGCCAGCCAAGTGAGAGAAACAAAATGTGGAAGTTAATAAAAGTCTAGTTATTTGGCTGCTAGAAGACCTCCTCCAGAAGATGTGAGAATTTAGCTCTTTCTGTTTCCCTTTGTCTACAGCATCTAGTGAACATTCCAATNGAGGATTTGAAGGATGATCAAAAGAATGTGATTTGCTACCAGTAGAGAAAAGAGAAAAGTTATTGATGTAAGATAAAGATGAGATGTCTGTATGCTTTTTAAAATTTTTTTCATCCCACATTAAAGGGTCTTTGCTTACAATCTCCTAACGTAGAATTTTTTTTTTATTTGGGAAAAGATTGACAATGAAAAATATGGTTGTCAGCATCACTTAACAATTTGTATCAGGAAATTGTTTAGATCAATGATTCCAATTTTCTCCACCAAGACCTCTTTTCACTATGCTTCTCCATAATTCCATATTTTGATTTTCCATATTTAGATTTTTTTTAACACAAAGCTATATCTACTAAATAAAATCCATTTATATTCTTATTTTTAACTAAGCAGTGATTTATAACTATCAGAGTTACAACACTCAGAGTTTCTTAGGAGCATAAAGTAAATAACTATCAAAAAACAAATTGTAACTAAGGAAAAGACATTTATCACTTTAAATATCCTACATATCCTTTTCAAAGCAAGGGTTCTATGCCTGTTAAGTTCTATGAAATAGGAAAGTGTTCCAAGGAGACCCACAGCTACTGGTTTTAGAGCCTGCAATATTTAAGGATTGTAAATTGGAAAGCAAGAATATAAACTAGTTTAAAAATCACCTAATAAGTATGGTTTATTCTTGCTTCAAGAATTAACTCGAATTATTTAATGTACCATGACTGTCTAAATCTGTAAGAGGAAAGAAAATCCTGGGGTGCTTTCAAATATTTTTTTTTCCTCTCCTCTTTTCCCATTCTCTCTGTCAAAACCATCACTGGGATTTGATACTGTAGAGTAAAAAGAGTCCAGAGTGTACTCACCCGCCTGATTAGTTGTGATGCTGACTGCAGCAAACTGTCTTGGTGGAGAGCNTTAACAACCAGCAGAATCATACTGGAGCTCACTTGCTGCTCTGGATGACACTTATGGTATGACCTTTATACTTTTAATAACCTTCCTGAGCCAGCCAAGTGAGAGAAACAAAATGTGGCAAGTTAATAAAAGTCTAGTTATTTGGCTGCTAGAAGACCTCCTCCAGACGATGTGAGAATTTAGCTCTTTCTGTTTCCCTTTGTCTACAGCATCTAGTGAACATTCCAATATCCTCAGAGCAAAGGGTGATTCCTACTGGAGATCAGAGGGACTTTGATAATTTAACCCAAAAGCAGACCAGAAACTGAGTTTACGCTCAATCCTGACTTCCCCTTCATGGATGAGCCCACCTGGATCACACTGGAGAATCTGTAGCTCTAGTTAAAGCTTTCTCAGGGTGCACCCTATCTCTTTCTTTCCCCTGTTTCTGGATATAGTGTTTATTTGCTTGTGTATAAATAGTACAATGAGAGTACATCAAAAAGTTTGTGGAAAAATGGAATTAAAAGAGAATACGAGTATTTCCATGAACTTTTTGGAGAATCATTATAATATCTCTGAATTCAACCACTTGGAATGTATCCCAAATTATGGCATCTTGCAGAAACAATTATGCACAAAAAATATTTATTAGCTTAACTTTCCACAAGCTATGTTGATAAAAAAAAACCTGTTTATTACTCATTCATCAAAGTTATCAATATTAAAAAATGATTGTCCTATCCCAAAGGGGCATGGTTTTTATGAAAAGTATAATCCATCCTTATGCTTGAGAGAATCACAACTAAAACTCCATATGTAAAACCCAAAGGTAATCCACATAGAGGATTTGAAGGATGATCAAAAGAATGTGATTTGCTACCAGTAGAGAAAAGAGAAAAGTT